TGCCGACGCCGGTTGGGTTCTGGGTCGAAGCGGCGGGGGAAGGAAACCTGGCCGGCCGTCAAGGCGCCCCTGGCGCGCTCGATCTTTAGCAGCTGCTCAGCGCTCCTGCAAACGGCCCGAATCTAATCTTAGCCGTGCTGAGCGCTCAGTTACTCCTGCGCCTGGGCCCCTAATGAGCCCTTCCCGGCAACACCCTCCCCACCCTTCTCTGCCTGTAGTCGTGGCTTCCGTTTCCCTGTGTCTGAAGAAGTGTTGCCTGGACACAAAAGCTGATCCCCAGAATAAAGCTGTGTTGGTCTTCAAGGCGCCCCTGGATTCGAATGTCGCCCTACCCAATGGCTCAGGGCGGCTAACAAGAAGTTTAAAAATTAAGTGCAATAAAACGCTATTACACATATAGTAAAATCTGGTGCTACAAAAGCCTACATAGAAATACACAAAACACAGCAACCCACATTTAACAGCTAGTATTCTTAAAAGCGAGAGCGCCAGGAGCAGTATTTCATATTGCAAAGTGCCAACATGGCCATTGAACCTGAATCCTGAGGTTTTACTGTAGAAACAACTCAGACATTAACGTAAGATGATCCAAACAAAGTAAGGAAAGCAATCCCAAAGGCTTTCATTTGCTTAAAATTATTTGGCAGGGAATTCCGACACTTTAATGATGGTCTGGGCCTGGCTGGGGCGATGGCACGCGTGCCCGCAGAGAGGGCTCTGAGTGCCACCTCTGGCACCCGTACCATAGGTTCGCCACCACTGTTCTACCCAAATAAACAGTAGACGAGCGGGCTTGCACTTTACCCCGGCCCTTTCCCCAAATACAAGCAGCCCAAGGCCGCCTTCTCCTGTGGTGCACAAGAAGGAAGCAGAGTTGCAGACGTGTGCAGTGTTTTTTATCAGCCGGGGAGGCAGTCAGTGTTCTTTCAGCAAGCAAAATGCCCAGCATTGATGTAACCACTGGAGGGATTGGGTGTCCCCGACCTCGGAGAAGCACACCTGGTCCTGCGCTCCCCTCCTGGGCTCACTCTGCCGGTCCACTTAGAGGGTGGCAGGCGGGTGGGAATGGGCTTCCATTTAGAAAGAGACGGGCTGGGGCTCCTCTGGCTTGGCTCCCTTCTAGTGTGGGAGCAGAAGAAGGTTTGAGTCCAGAGGGGCACCTTTGAGACCAGCCAAGTTGTATTCTGGGCATAAGCTGCGTGCACATGAAAGCTTATGCCGAGAATTCGACTTGGATGCTCTTCAAGGTGCCACGGGACTCAGACGTTATTCTGCAGCTTCAGGGCGGTGTCATTCAGGCTTTGGGTTCTCTGCCAGGGCCCACGGCTTCAGGCGCCACGCACAGGTTCAGCAAGTCAGGCAAAAATCCCTTTATTATCACAGCACAGGCGAGGTGACCTCGATTAACAATAATTAATCAGGCAAAGGGAAGAGTAGACGTCTTCCGAAGTTCAGCAAAATGCAGTCATTAAAATCAGCTGAAACTTACTCAGACTCCAAGAGGTAGGGAAAATCCCACCCAAAAGATGCACACTTCCTCCCCACCCCACCACCTTTCTGACTTTTATCCAGGAAGGACCCATTAACATGCTACCCCTCCCTCTGTCCAGTCCAGCTGTTAATTAAGATATCTCAGCTGTGCAGCTCTTGAGAAGCTAAGAACTGGGCAGCTCCTGCCACGACTTGCAAGGTGGCTCCTCCCTCTCCTGTCCTCATTCAGTTCTTCAGTGTTGCTGTTTTGCACGCGAGCTGGTCTCTTCCTTACAAGGACTGCCGCTGCTAACCCAGCTGGATCTTTCCACGTGGGAGTCTGTGCCCTGCTGAGGCTTGAGGGAAGGCTGGCTCCAGCGCCAGAAGAGGGGTGGGAGTTTTTTCCATTTCTCTGTTGCTCACTTGAGGCTACCTGGGGTGGTGGGGGAGTGGGAGACAGGCATGTTCAGGATTGGCTCAGCGCTAGACCTGAGAGATTCCCCTACACTCTTGATTGATAAGAGGTGGGGGGGGGGGGCTGCACAGTAGGTGCCCCTTTTCAGCCCAGGGGTGCTGCTGGCTTCCCTTCGGTTTAACAGCTGCAGGGCACAACAGAGGAAGTTTTCTCTCCTGTGGCTGACCATTCCGGGGCAGCAGGACGGGATCGTCTGCATGCAGGTCCTCCTTCTCCCTAGTTTGGGGGTGACTCTTGGAAGTGTCAGTGGCAAAGGGAATCTTCCTCTGCAGGCCAGGCAAGGGGGAAGACTCCCCATGGCAAATAGAAGGTGTTACATGGATTGTGCTCCTGGTTTTTGGCTTCTCCCTTTCACTCCTCGCATTATCCTCAAGGCTTCAGGCACTTTACTGTTAGAGCATACCAGCTGCCCCCCCCCCCCCCCAAAGAACTGGGACAGGGGAAAAAGTCTGAAAACCCCCTGGATTCTTTCTTAGGGCCTAACTGCACTCCTATCCGGGTCTTGGTGGTCAGAGGTACATTGCAGGTTTCCGTGCTTGGAACTGAATTCCCAGGCATGTGGTGTGGGGGGAGGGGGTCAGACTCCTGCAGCAATCAGTTCCCAACAGCTTTCATTCAAAGAAGTAAAGTTTATTGAGACTTTGAGAGTATGCAGATATCTTAACCGTTTCGTGTTAGAACTAAAGGAAAGCGCGCACAATAGGCAGTTATACATCATTTAAGGGAACCCCCTAGGGCTGCCAAGCCGTGGCGGGGGATCCGTGCGTCTTCACAGGATCCCTGCCGCGGGGGACAGCGATACGCGTTGCGCCGCTGCCGCCAGGATGTGACGCTACGCGTCGCTCTGGCAACGGGACTCCAAACAGCCCCGTTGCCAGAGCGACGCCTAGCGTCACATTCTGGCGACGGCGGTGCAACGCGTATCGCTGTCCCCCGCGGCAGGGATCCTGTGAAGAAGCATGGATACC